AACTAAGTAAGTCATGCCTAAATTCAAATCCTTTGGACTTTTGTATAACTTCAGCATATATTTTTACTGCAATAACCTTTTTATAAAAGCAGACCTAAAATAGCAAAATGATGTGGAGTCTATATAAAACAATTTTATGCTTAGTAGAAAATATGCTACATGTACATGTAACTATCAAACAAATTTGGTATCCTGATTGATACTAATATAGTAGTAAAAACTTTACTATCAGTGCATCCCTACATGTATATAGTTATATAAGTCATGTAGTGCAGATTGTGATTGGTCATCTCCGGTTCAACCTACCATTTAAAACACTTGGTAGAGAAAATTGCATTAACTCTTTTGAAACTTAAAGCAGTATTATCAAGATCAAAGATATTATACATGCTGTCGTGATGGGCTCAAAATATGCTTTCCATTATTATGTCTTTAGATGTTAATGAAGTAAACAACCAAACACACTGAATAAAATAAAATCTAGTTTTAATTTTACCGCAATAAAGAACAATCATTTTTAAAAAAAAAAAAAATTATTAAGAACTTTCTCCTGTATCAGATTTAAAAGCTTTCATAGTTTTAATGTGAATGGGGGTGGTTCTTGACCAGTTGATTGTTCACAAGCAATTGCATACAGATGACAATATATCCACATTACCTAGCTATGTCAATGTGGATGTGTAAACAAAACACTGACTTTTTTGAACGGAAAATAAATCAACAGCTGTTTAAAATGTTTTGTATCACATTAAAGTAATTACATGTACTACCTGAGTTCTTTTCTAGTACACTGTACCTGGCATCACAATAAATATAATATTGTTATTCAAGACAATAACATGACGATGTTGTGCCGCTGGTAAATGGCAGTCCAATGTCACACATTATCTCATTGATTTTCCTACACTAGAAAGCATACAGAATGACGTAGGCCGACACAATGTATTTCGCAATAAATAATACCAAATAACTCGACTAATATATACCCTGAACCCTTATGTAATAAGAAATAAGCCCTAGAAATGTAACATGTTGTAAATGTGCTTACCGTATTAATATTAATTATTATCAAATAGCCTTGTTAATGTTTATAAAAAACTGTAACATTCAGATCTTCTTACTCTCAGGACACAACATAGAAGTTCACTGACCTAAAGTTCTTTGAACTGAGAAAGCCCACAACTTATTCTAGTTTTAGAGCGAGTGTTGGCTGACATTTAAGAACTAAACTAACATAAATCTAGATAAAAATCCATTTATTAGATTTCCATCTGTCGGATTATCTGTCCTATTACTATAGCCAAACAGTATTTGGTGATCATTATCTAGAATAATTACTGGTAAATGTCTTATTAATGAAGAATAGAGACTTTTGGCAAGCGGATTTTTCCCATCCGTATCCCGTATCCGTATCGTATACGTGATACGTTGCGTCAATGTAGTTTTAGAGTTTTGGCCGATTTTAGCAATTTTTGGTTTCACTAGTGTATTATTTCAGAAAGTTTAGCCCATAGATCAACCAGTATGCAGACAGGCGGGAAAAATATGAAAATTTCGAGAAAAACCCATCAAAAATAATGATTAAATTCCAGTCGTTATCACTGTTAAAATCACATCAAATATACACCTTCGTGTTCTAGGATACACACAGATTCATAAAAACGCTATGATGCAACATTTCAGCGTCTAAAAGTAGCAAAAAAGACGGGAAAAAGACGACAGTGTTATACGGACCATTTCCGTATGAAAGCCGTTCCATACGTGCTGCCGTATCCGTGTGCCGTATCCGTGTGCCGTATCACGTATGAGAAATACACAGACATTGATGACGTCACACGCAAAATCCATACGGATACGCGATACGGACCAGGAAATTACGCTTGCCAAAAGTCTCTAATATCTCTTATTCTCTTATAACCTGATCTGTAACATTATAACAGAACATCCATATATTTATAATGATAGTTTAAGTGTCAACAATATATTGTGATGGATGATATTTTTTTTTTATCATTTCTGCAAACGTTTTTAAAAAATTTCTTTAACAACTATGTATGCCACTGCGGATGACAGAGAAAATTACTCATTTGAATGATTGCCATGTGTTAAAGTAAGGATGCGTCACTTGATAAAATATCCAAGTTAATATTTACGATTGATTATTTAACATTTAATTAAGAAAACAAAATCAAAATACAAACCTTGATAATGTCCTAGCTTGGATTTTATGGGATTTAAAATAGGCCTATCAATTTTGTTCGTGATGGGTTAATTAATGGTGATGGGTTAATTAAAAAAAAACAAAATCAAAATACAAATGCTAGATGACATCCTGGCAATAAATTTTGCTTATTACATGTAGAGAGAGAGGGAGAGAGAGAGATGGGGTTTAACATCCACTCGACACAAACTAGGTCATTTTGGGACCAACATGTGGTTTAATTTTATTTCAATAATTCGCTTGCGCGTAGGGGTCTTTAGCAGTGGGAGGAAAAAGGAGGACCCGGAGAAACCCACGAGGTTGGACAGGTGACCCTACTCCTGGGGAAACCACGCCAGTTGACTCAATATTGACAGGCCTTATGATACTGCGCGCAAGTGCTAACCATTCGGCCATCCAACCTCCACTTATTGAAGCAGCATTGATTGATGTAAATTCAATTCAACATATCATCATAAATACTAAACAGGATTGAACCATTTTTAAGTGATATTTCTAGAGAGATTCATATTTCACAATATTGTGTTTTAAAAGGGATTCCTATTGTGCTAAAATGACGCGGACATGTTGCTACTATCCACATATGGATGGGAAAATACAAAGTCACTAGGGTTTTGTTTCAGTATGAAGCAAGTAAACAAAGAACATCACAATTCTGATCAAAGAATAACATTAATAAACCATACATTTATCAGTTTGAAGCTCTCTTTATTGTAGAATATATGTTACTGCAGAGTGCAAAATAAAACATAAAGATACATCTTTATTACAGAAACATCACCCACAGGGTTGGATTAAAGCATGGGTTTTAGGGGTCGTGGTACAGGACCCTCTATCAGCTGCACCACCTTCAGTGAGTGAAATGGTCTCTTTTTTTTGTGAATAGGTAAGTATTCGTATTTAAAGTCTGCAACAAAGGGTTCTTTTACAGTGTACATGTATGCCAACCCATACACATAACTACACTGTTCCTTACCAGGTGCTGCATCTGCACCACTATAAACCATTATAAGGAACTTTCTTGGTCAAATATAGGGAACGACCTCAAGAACTCCTGGTTAGTGACGCAGCTACATTGTATTAAAGAAAGGGAAAGAGAGAGAAATGGGGTTTAACACCCACTCGACACAAACTAGGTCATTTCGGGACTATCATATGGTTCAACTTTATTTTAATAATTTGCTTGCGCATAAGGATCTCTAGCAATGGGAGGAAACAGGAGGACCCAGAGAAACGCACGAGGTTGGACAGGCGACCTTACTCCTTGTCACGTAAAACCGGGGAACCGAAACCATGCCAATTGACTCAATGACAGACCTTATGATACAGCGCACACAAGCTAACCATTTGGCCATTCAACCCCCATTTAAGAAAGGTTTCAATTAGTATTTATTACGACAAAAAGAAACACTGTCCTGTATATCTGGGGAAGCTGATGGGTTAACATTCCCTAGATTAAGGTAATCACAGTACTTGTAGCCTAGTGACCTACAAAATCTTAACATGGATCTGATACATGTAGATACATATACATGTAGCATGTACGCAAAAGAACAAATAACTTTAATTGAGAAGCACAAGAATATCACTATAAATAGCTGCCATCAATTGCTAATTAATTTTGATATTGATTAGCATTTTTTACACATTGTACGGGAAATTGCACAATTGTGTATATAGTTACACCCCCTTAAAACAAAAGAGTTAACAATGATTACAAATGTATAGGATAGACTAATCAATTTCTTTGATAACATAAAAATGATAAACCATTGTTGTTTGATTACTGCCCAAGGATATAGATGTTGATAACATGTGGAGCTCATAGAAAATATTTTAAAATGACTTGCAAGTTTGATATTTCTAAAGATATATGATTTATTGAGAGTATATTAAAATTAACAGTAGACCAAATCTATACCAAACTGTGTTGGGATGAAATCACCAGAGATGACACTAACCCTCTTGTCAATTCCAACACAAAATTTGTTTGTGGGAGGTTTTTTTTAGCTGTAGATAGACTAGAAACATTTTCTAATCCACCATTTACATGCAGTAGAGATTTAAAATGTTTGTTTTAAACTAAATCTAACAAAATTAGGCCAAATTTATGCCATTCATAGCCAGATATTTTGCCAAAACAAGCAACCCTCTGATTGGCATCTTATTTCTTTGTTAAACTTACACAGGAAGATGTCCAGCAGCAATTTTAGACAAGATAAGAGAAATGAGGGATCTGGCAGGTCACATTTAGTGTACTTCAATAAGCTTGATGTATTTGGCTAGTTTTTCCAAAAAAATAATGATCAGATCATAATGAAAGTTGTCTGATGACAATATGTCTCACTGATTGATATAAATGTATTAATCTTAAACAATGTACATTACATCTACATTGTATATTGTATACAACAATATGTTAAACAATAACATACACCGGTACATGATCTACACTTTCTATTACCCCTACATGTAAACTACATGAGATTATTATACACTATAAAAGATGTCCATTTCATTTTATACTAAGGAATCATACTTGTGATCACTTCGCTGTACATGTACATGTATGATGTACAGTATACATATATAACAAGGCTGGTTTCATACATCACATAAAATAAGTACTTACATGTATATTTTCTTACAAAGTACATACATGTATCCTGAATGAACAATTTGGTTTTAAACACCATTAATTTTCAAGAGTAAAATAAAAGTACAAACTACACACATACATGTACATGTAAGTTTGAAGTAGTCAATAAGTAATATTTACCTTTTCCCTTTGAAGGACTTGGAGGACTAGATATATTTAAAAAAGCGTCAATTTCATCACCATGCATGGTAATAAACAATGATTATAGGCTTTTATAACCACCATTCTGACAAATCAATCAATGTTTTTTCAAAAACTCTCATATTTCACAAAACCTGAAAAGAAACAAAACCATTAGATTTTGATACAATCCAACACGAGGCTGAGCTGATATCCCCTGCCCTGTCTTAATCCCAAAATAAATAGATGACACTCATTAATTACTTGAACAATTATCATTTTACAAAGCATCACATACATGTACGTACATGTACTCTCTTCAGTGCTTATCCTAAGCAGAAAATGGTCAACATCGAACTTAGTCATGGTACAATGAACATGTATTTATTGATGTAATAAAACTATACACTAGAGATATGCCTACTAAATGAAATAAAATGGGGTTTAACGTCCTACTGTACTGCTCTGAATTGGGCTAATGAAGACAGGCATGTGCCTAGAGCAGTGATTCTCAACCAGTGCGCCACGGCCCACAGGTGTGCCACAAGATCTTCCTAAGTGTGCTGCGGAATTTTGAACGGCACACTAAGAAAATGCGAAAAATCACATGATCCCAATTGAGTATTCACTGGTGTCTACTGATAAGTTCATAGCTGTGTTTTTCTTAATTTAGTTCGAGTCATTCTATGTATCTATGACTAGTCTCTGTCTACAGTTGTATGCCGTCTGACTTGTCATGTTTTTATTTTGCAAAATCCAAATATTTTTTATATGTATTTAGCCAGCCGCGCTGCTATGTTTTCACGTGTTCCAAGGTGTGCCGTTGGCTAAAAAAGGTTGAGAACCACTGGCCTAGAGTATAGAGTGTGCTATGAGGGAAATTTTGCCCAGACAGTGGCACTACAGCCTACTCTTAAATCGAATTCAAACTGTCAAGGGATCTTTTACGTGCATGCCAATGTGTACATGAGACCCCGGTTTTTGTCTCGAAGGCTAGACAGCTGTCTTTGTCAGGTCCTCGTGCTGCATCACTGACAAGGGGGAATCACGTTGGAAAATCTGGATGAACTTTCTCGGCCAATGCAGGGATCGAACACCCAACCTCCAGGATAGCAAGCCTGCGTCTAACCCACATAGCCACCAGGACCCCCATATGCATGTAAAGGGAATAAAACCAAATTACACATCAATTTCTCTAAAATATGTCAGAAAGTGTTTGACTTTTGTTTGTATGACGAATTAACTAACAGCATATTCTCTGATCTGTCGAATTTGAGTTTGTTAAAATAAAAATGCATAGGTATCGGTAAGCTCTTTTGTTCTATTTCATTAAATTCTGATATATTGCAATTGAATTGAAATATTGTTAAAATCTTCCAGATACTGTTTTGCAAAAAACAAGCCAAATGCAATGCATCACATACATGTACAACTGGTAATTTAACAAAATGTTTGCACTCTGTTTTAATGCAAACACTACCAGAAATAGAATCAAACAAGAAAACCATGTCTTATTGTCAACAATGTCAACCAGTTGATGAATGTGTCGAAAATGGTAATAAGCTTATTAATTGACATGTTTTTTTTAATCCCACATTTTTGGCAGATAAAATATTCCAGTTGGGGGGGGGGGGGGAAATATAAACTTTTTTTATATAAAAATTATCATCCGTTTTGGCGGAAAAAATCAGAAAACCAGTGTGATCCCTGCTTATTATACTAATAATAATAACATTGTGATATTTCAAAAGTGATGCTAAAACGAAATATTTCATTACATTTCTCAAAAGATATTCAAACATAATATAAATGCAGTTTTCAATGCACAAGGGGTCTAAGTGGAATGTGGTAAATTACATGTAGCTATTTCTAGGTACGTCAATGAGCACCTACATCTGGCGTACTGTAATTACTACATGTACATGTACATGATCATATCTAACAAACTACATTAAATCTGCAATTGATCAAGTTCTGCCAAAGTTTCATTTTAGCAATACAAGGCAAAGGGGTTTATTAATGAATACAGAATGACTTACTACATTTAAAGTGTAATTAGTTGCCACATATCTTGATAATAAAACTTTAAAATGTATTCCTATAGTATGGTACATGTATATACATGTACATGTACGGTAGTCTACTATACAATGTCTGTCATGGCTAGTCTTTGAATGCCAGAAGTTCTTTTTGTTTTCTTCGCCTTTTTATGACTGATCAAAATAAGTAACAGTTTGAAATATTATCTTTCAATTCCAGATCTTATCTATAACTGTAGTTAAACGTCAGTGTGATCCCCTGATAAAAGATATCAGCTAGAGGGTCATCAATATTTATTTGCTAAGCAAAGAGATAATGCCTATTTTAATACTAATACTAGTAATAGGGTGCCTCACAAGGTCGCAAACACTCTACTACCATGGTAAATGATCAACCTCAAAGGCAACTTCAAAAGTGATTATGAAACAGCTCTGGTGCAAATGCATTGTCAGCATGTATTATAGGTCCATAGGTCTATGAGATAACAATGCCCCTCCCCCCAAAAGGCAAATAAGTTTGAAAAACAGCGATATCTACATACGTTTAGATTGTGGGTAGTGATAACTTTAGAAAAATATGCCAGGTTTATGGAAAAATGGCAGTGTCTAGATCTGCAAGTGCATGCACAATGTCAGAGAAATTTTAGAGCATTTTCATTGGATGTATGTAACTTATTAAATACAAAATAAAATAGCATTTAATTGTCTTCCCTTTTTTATGCACCAAGTTGACGAATTGGCACAACTTTTCCTGGCTAGATCAGTTTTTTGTCCAATCCAAATGACTAGATGCTTTTCCTTGTCAGGGTTTCAATGCTGCATGAATGACAAAGAGAATCAGACTGAAAAATTCCAAATAACTTCTTGGTAAACAGTGCAATTTTACCCAGGACCTCCTGGTTATTGAGCCAGTACCATGCCATATACATTACACAGAACCACCGTGCAAGTAGTTCCTATTAATTATAACGCAAGCATGATGATTAAGTGGCTGCATAATTTTCAATATATTTAGAGATTTATTTTTTAATGTGGGGCACCCTACTTTGAAACATAGTATCTAAAAATATCATTTCATATGAATTCTGTAACTAGAACTACCCACATGGTATGTTTAATTAAACTATAGTGTATCAGTAACCTACTTTCAAGATAAACACTTCAGATAATTGGGCCAGTGTATTTTTGGGCCAGTAATGGTCAAATATTGAGTAAATTCTGGTTGCTTAGTGTAAACTTGCTATTCAAGGTAAAAAAATCAATAGGCCTATCGCCTATCTATAGTCAATACCGGTACAATAATGCATTCATCATACAAGCTTGTTATATTAACCTAAGTACCGATAAACATCTTTATTTGAATAGTTATTGAATTTAGTGTAAAAATGGCATTCCGTTAAATCAGACATACATGTACACTGGTATTATGTTTATAGTTATACATGTACATGTACATGTTTCAATCCATAATTAATAACAGTCTCAAGCAAGTGAATTTGTTTATTAACTTTTTCTTGTTCACTGGATTCATTATTTTTCTGAAGCTTTAAATGTACATGTATTATAACTTAGTAAATGCATATTTGAAATAAAACTATGATTTAAAAGTAGACCTACATGTATAGCCTTGTGTACATGGTTAAATTTGACCTAATTACAATTGATATGTTGATTCTTTTTGCAAATTGAGTATCTGTCAACATTCAAACTTTTAAGTCTGCAGATACATGTAGAGCTACATTTGTACAAGATAACTTTGGGTACCCGTAAATATATTATAAATGATTTTGTCTTCAACGCCTAGTCAAAAATGTCTGATTCTGTCCCTAAAACACCTTTCATTATAAATGATAAAAAGTTTGAATATTTACCATTCCAAAAACATGTTGTCCTAGACCATTCAACAAATAAATAGAATTTGTTTCCAAAACAATACCGCCTACAGACAATCAAAAGAACTCAATTTAACACTTTATTTGGAAATTAATCAATGATGTTTACATGTACATCCGCTTATTTTGACCAAAAAAAATCAATACGAGACTGGGCTTTGTAAATCTGAAATCACAGTTTGTTCATATAGAATGACAAATATAACGCAAAAACAAAAATGTTACATTGGGAATAATCATTACACTTCATTATATTTAAGTGTAACCAATTATACATGTAAGGCTTCTTCCTTATGTGACAAATCAAACAATACTGGTAAGTTTCAAAATGAAAATTCCAAAATTTATAAAGTGAGAGAGATATGGGGTTTAATGTCCACTGGACACAAACTAGGTCATTTCGGGACCAACACATGGTTCAATTTTATTTCAATGGGAGGAGCAATGGGAGAAAACCTGAGGACCCAGAAAAAACCCACAAGGTTGGACAGACGAACCTACATTACTCCTTGTCACGTACAACAGGGGAATCGAGACCACACCAGTTGACTAAATGACAGACCTTATGATACAGCATGCACGTACTAACCATTCGGCCATCCAACCCCCCAATTTATAAAGTAGCTAAGTATCTAACTCAATATCATCCAAAGTCTTTGACATTGAAAACACAAATTATTTGTCAATTTTAAAAAAATCAACATTGATTTTGTGATCTTACCGGGAAAAAATAACCAATATTTAAGACAAAACGAACATTTTATCATTGGAACACGAATCGTGTACCATAATGCGTTTCAGCACCATTTGTAACAAGGGACTCAAAGAACAAGGCTAGACATATTCCACAAGTCATATAAAACGGTGACATCATATTCTTATCCCGGGAGCATGCGCAATAAATACTATCGGTGTAGACTGGAATAAACAGACGCTAGAGATTGCCATTCGATTGAGACTTCTTGCGTATTTCACCAAACATAACTGATTAGAAATTACAGTAAAAACAATAGACTTCTAATATCAATTTCAAAACTATCAGGTCATAAGTGTAGTGAGTAGAGTGTTCACAAGAAAGAGTGGATGACGGACCAACAGACGGACGGAGGCAACGGTACTATCCGACCAAATATCCATGTGGGCATATAAAAAGTGTTTGCAGTTGTAAGTAATACATGGTGATGCAATACAATTTGGTTTTAAACATTACATAGTTCTACTTCC